AAATGCAATTTTAACATTGCTTTGAACTTCCAAAAAGAAACGTCAAATCGCAACTTTAAAGTGATTTTTCGGTAAGTACTACACTTTTCCGCACTTTTTTTTATCATTAACGCCTCTTTTGACTCATTTCCTATCGATTAAAAAAAAAATCATCGATTTTTAAGAGAGACTCCTAATCTTGATATATGCCCAAATAGTTCAATTTGATTTTTAATAATTATAAATAATTCAAGATTTCCTAATGTTGTGGTTGGTGTGATCACTCGTGAATCAGTAAGACAAGCATTAAGGGGTGGAATAACGGCCGACCAAATAACTGGCTACCTCAGACAACATGTTCACTCACAAATGTTGGCCGGAGATACAAGAAATGCTTTACCCCCGACTATTGTGGACCAAATTAAATTATGGGAATTGGAAAGGAATAGATTGGATTATTCAGAAGGTGTTTTATATAGTCAATTCTTATCACAGGTAAAATACCATCATTAATAAAACGAATATTTTATTAAATTGTTTTTTTTTAGGCGGATTTTAATGTTTTAAAAGAATACGCCAATTCGAATGGTTACCTGATTTGGAGCAATAAAGAAAAACGAACGATGGTCGTTAATAAACAAGGCCATGATGATGTTAAAAAGTTTTGGAAACGTTACTCCAAAGGAAATTAAAAAATTAATAAAAATAAAAAAAATTAAGTGTTTTTGTTGAATTTGTTGTGAAGAGATAAAAAAATGGAATGTTTGTGAGTTGAATGAATTTTTGAAGTGGGGCCGTTTAGAACGCGATAATCTCTTTGTTAGTATTAGTAATTAGTTAGATTTAATAAATTTTTATTATATACTTGTCATAAGAAATAAAATTGATATTTTTTTCTTTATTTGAAATTTTATTTATGACAGATTTTAATCAATGCTTTTGCTGGAAATAAATAAAGATCTTGTGAGTTGTACATAAAAAAAGTTCCACCTCAAAAAATAAAATGTTCGAATTCAACACTTTGCTTTACCTGAAAAACCCCTTTACAAGATTAAGAGATTAATTACTGGTAATTGTATCCGAAAGTACCTTCTATAATAGTGTGACTATTATACATTTTAATCATGTGTAAAACAAAGATCTCCATTTATAAGGCTAAAGTAATCTTACTAAATGATGTAATAAAAATTTAATTAAAATGTAATTAAAAAAATAACGAATGTTTAATAAATTAACAACGTCCCAATTAATCAATGTAGAGGGCAAATTAAGTTAACCTTCAACAATGATTAAATAAAAGTCGTCATAGCAAAAAAAAAAATTAATAAAAACAACGAGGACTTACCATTAATGTTTCGTAATTAGCAAGATATAAAAACGAACATTCTGTTAATCTACTTCCTTATTAATAAGTAATACATACTCAAATCAAAATCTTTTTTTTAATGGATAATAACGATAACTGTGAAAATGATGAAGAAAAATGCGGATTTATTCCAGCTTTTAATTGGAAACGATTACCACAAAAACAATATTTAATTAATAAAAACCAAGTAAGTAAAAAATTTTTTTAATCAATCTTACTTAAATAGGAATATTTAGAAATTTGAAAATGTTGGTGATGAGAAAATCCTTTTTCCAAATTGCGACCCGGAAATATGGTTAAGATCGTGCGAAAATGAAATCTTAACACCTTTGCCATCAAAATTTTCTTCTGGTACAATCCCAAAGTGGCTAGAAGGTACTCTAATAAGAAACGGCCCCGGAAGTCTTAAAGTTGGAAAGTACACCTATAATCATCTTTTTGATAGTTTCGCTTTATTACATAGATTTAGTATTAAATCTGGAAATGTTACCTATCAATGTCGATTTGTACAATCGGATGTTTATAAAAGAAATATTACAGCCCAAAGAATTGTTTTCACTGAATTTGGGACTAAAGCTATTCCAGATCCATGTCAAACTATTTTTAATAGGTAATTATAAAAATAATGCATTAAATTATAATACTATTAATTAATTTTTAGGGTGTCTTCTGCATTTAACATTAAAAATAAAAGTGATAACGCAATGATTTCGGTTTATCCATTTGGTGACGAATTATATGCATTTGCTGAAACTGGAATTATGTTTAAAATTAATCCAGATGATTTATCAACGGAGAAAAAAGTTGATTTAAATGACTTACTAATGGTAGTTAATCATACTTCACATCCCATAATAAATCAAGATGGTATAAAAATAAAAATAATGTAGAAAAAGATTAGTTTTTGAGTTTTTAGGGAGTGCATTTAATCTTGGTTTACAAATAACACCAACTGGACCGGTTCATTGTATCATTAATTTTCCTAAACATCGTGAAAATAACAATACTAATGAGCCTAAAATAAGAATTATCGCTTCTATACCAGCAAAATGGCCTTTAAATCCATCTTATATGCATTCATTTGGTACTTATAAATTTAATTTGGTGTTAATTAAACTAAAACTAGAACTAACACAAGACCTAGAAACAGAAACATTCGAGTTTAGCTGTTATTTTTTTTTAGGAATGACCGAAAATTATTTTATATTAGTTGAACAACCTTTATGCGTCTCAGTTATAGATTTAGTGAAATGTAAATTTAAAAACCAACCCTTTATTGGTGCTTTAAAATGGTTTTATGATGAAAAAGTCAAATTTACAATTTTATCAAAAAAATCTGGAAAATTAGTTTACGAATTTTATTCAGATCCATTTTTCTATCTTCACATAATAAATCAATACGAATCATCCAATCAAATAATAATTGATATTTGTGCTTACCAAGACCCAAAAATGTTGGAGTGTATGTATATTGATGCGATGAAAAACTTAAATAAAAACCCGGATTATGCGACCATGTTTCGAGGACGACCGATTCGATTCGTTTTGCCATTGATAAAACCATCAAATGTGAAAAATAAAAATGAAAATTTGGTTACGATTGGTTGTTGTAACGCGAAAGCTTTTAAAAGGGATGGTAACATTTTTGTCGAACCTGAACGATTAGTTAATTTAGGATGTGAAACACCCAGAATTAATTATGAAAATTATTTTGGAAAAGATTACAAGTACTTCTATGGTATTAGCTCAGACGTTGATAATTTTAATCCTGGAACGGTAACCTTTTTTTATTTAATAATTTTAATTTCCATAATATTTTTCTTTTAAGTTGATTAAAGTTAATGTTAAAACGAAATCGACAAAAATATGGGCGGAAAAAAATTGTTATCCAAGCGAACCTATATTTGTACCATCACATAATTCAACGGTAAAACATTTTTATATTTAAATAATTAACACTTCCTTTTAATTTTTAGTCTGAAGATGATGGAGTTCTTTTATCTTCATTGTTATGGGGAGGAAAAAATGATTCTAATCGTGTTGGATTACTTATTTTAGATGCCAAAACTATGCAGGAAATAGCTAAGGTTGAATTTCATACCGAAACGCCAATTCCAAAGTGTTTACATGGATGGTTCATCTCGAAAAATTAAATAATTCGAATAATTTCAAAATTTCAAAATGTTAAATAATAAAAATATAAATATATACACCGTTAATATAATGAATATACCATTATTTCCATTGTATTTATTGTTTAATTTTGCTTTATTAAATTAAGTTGTAATAAATATTTAGATTACTAAATGATTAAAAATGATGTAAATTTGGTTGCCTATATGATATTTCATAAATTTTGAACTAAATCATAATTAATCTAATTGTAAGTAAATAAAAAATTAACATAAATAATATTAACATTGTCATTTTAGTTTAAGTAATGAGCTAAAAAGTTCGAATAATGAAGAAATAAAGCAACATAAATAGTAATTATAAATAGAAAATTAGAAAACATCTACATTACTCAATAAAACGAAAGTTTTACGTAAGAAACATCATTATTTTATTTTAAATTCCTATTCCGTCTAACCTAATTACATAAACTTTTAAAATCCAATAGAAAGTAAAAAAGAATAATTTTAAGTAATCAAAAATTTCAAATATTCTCGTTTTATAAATGTCAACTAAAATTAAAATTACAAAACCTTATTTCTTATAAAATCTGTCAAATAAAATAGTTTAAGCTATTTATGAGTTATTTTTAATTATCCTATCAATAATTTTAAATAAACCTAATTTATTTAAAAAAGTTAAATATCCCGCTTAAAACACATGTTTTGATCGTTTATAGTATCCACCAATCACGTTTAAGAACAACATCGACAATTCAAACGTCATATCACTTACTGTCAGTGTCACGACAAACGTCTTAGAGTGAGTGTCGAACATATGTAAAGAGTCCAGACTGCGTAGTTACTTTTTAAGTTTTCTTTTTAATTTTTCAACAAACCAAATATCAATTTAAAAAGCGTGGTCCGTAATTGTTGTGATTATTTAAATGTTGCACGCGAGAATATCATGCAAGGGTAATGTTTATGAAATTTCTTTGGTTACTAATTCTTTCGAAATTTATTCGTTTTCGTTGTGAATTGTTCTTGATTTTTGGATACGGATTGAGTCAAGTGACCAAACAAAAACTTGTTTTCGTATTTTTATGGATCGTATATTTTTAGAGTTATTTCTGCACGTCACGGTTTCGTTTTTTTTCCTGGGCCGAAAATCGATCAAAAGCAGATCGCAATATGTTTTGTACGCTGTAAAACTAACACTTTTTGACCTTTAAAAACTTGATTAAATAGTTGTTTTTTGAAATAGAGTTGTAATTTATTTTTTTTTTGTTTTTTCTTTATGTAGATATGGGAAATGATCCTGGGTGTTTATGGCCCAAACAACAAAAGAAAACTAAGATTATACAACCAGAATATTATACCGGAAAATGGGAACTTTTACCAAGCATTATTTTACACGATATCTATTCTTTATTATCAGAAAAAGATCGTATAAATGCTTCAAGTACTTGTCGAACTTGGAGACAAAATTTATATCATCCAAGGTAAAGTGTTAAGTTAATCAGTGTCACCAACTTGAATCTGAATTAAACAATTAATTTTTTTTTAAAGATTTTGGAAAGAAGTTACATTTAAAATCTACCCAGATAATTTAAATAGGGCAAGATTTTTTACAACTACTGTAGGTCGAATAGTAACCCATGCTGTAATAAAATTAAACTCGCTCTCAGTGAATTGTATGAATGAATTTATGTTGTTACTCCAGCAGTTGAAACGCAACGACAATTTGCTCTCCTTAATTTTAGAACCAGCATTTTCCCACATGGAACTGCCAACAAAATATGTGGACGCGTAAGTACTTATTTTTTATTAATTTACATAACACATTTTAATTCACTTATAC